ATCTAAAGCTCTATCCTTTTTCCTTTTCTTTCTCCTTGGTTCAAGACCACTATCCCCCTTTAACAAGTTGAGGACATAGAAGTTCAATGTCTTTGACTCTAGCATGAAACACATCTATTGATGGTTCATAAGAGCTGGACTAAGGATGAGATTGCATTCAGTTATATATATCCTACATATTCAAGCAGAATATCCCTCTTGTTCTTTGCTGCCTTTCAAAGGAGGGGATTTGATATCGTTTTGCACTACAAATAAGAACACATTATGCTACAGATTATAAAAAACAAAACATAGTAAATAGGACATTTTAAATTTAATTTCACTGGAAGCTAACCATGAAGTTAGCATCAGATATATGATTATGGACTGGACCTGAATCCTTGATATCACCCATTAATGCATGGCATAGCATAGTCATAAACTAAAACCACCAAGGAGTTTATCTTATTTGTACATTACTATGTGTAAATTATAAAAAACAAATTTAGATATTGTTTCACCTTGTTACCAATCCACTGCATTCCTCCTAAACATCAAAGTTCATCACGGGTGAGATATTGATCATACATTTCAACCAAAATTCTGAAACAAGGAATAATAAATAACTTCTCTTAAATTGTTGGAAATGAATGAAAAATTAGACAATAAAGACTACTTACTCACCAACTTCCTTCCTTTTACACATGTGTAATACCATTGAGAACAATTATTGCTTTTCATCAACCTTCTTCTTCATCCTATTCACCAGCTTAGATAGAACCCAAGGATGCCAAATATATAGTTGGTATTTTTGTCCTTGTAGATCTCCTAAGTCATCGTTCACCATCATCTTCCTTAACTTCCTCCTCTGATTTTTCCTCTCCATACTCTTCTTGAGAAGATACATGAATTGGAGATGATAAATTATCAATTTGTTCTCCTCCTCCTCCTCCTCCTTTATCACCTTTACCTTTCTTTTCATCATCTTCTCCTTTTTCGTCTTCTCCTTTATCTTCTTCTTCTTCTTCTTCATCTCCTCCATCTTCTTCTTCTTCATCACCTCTATCTTCTTCTTTTCCATCTTCTTTAGACTCATAATCTGCCTTGTCTTGTTCTTCAAACTCAGAGGTTGGCTTATCTTCACTACCATATCACACCAGATCATCTTCTTCCTCAACTTCAACACTTGACTTTCCTTCCCCTTTTAATTTCTGCGATGCTTCCCTTTTCATTTGCTCCTTTCTGAATGCAGATTCGACATAAGCAATTAATCTTTAGTGGTTTTCTTTAATAACCCCCATCAATGTTGAAAATAAGTCCTTCAATTCCTATACATTTATAAAATGTAAATAGAAAAAAACTTGTTTTGAATGCTATTCTATCCAAAACAGTGAGAAATAAATACTGGGTTTAGATATGAAGTTGTCGGTCTCTTCTTGCTGACGGTGAAAGTGGGCTCTCTTGCAGAAGCACCATAAAGCAACCCAATATTGCTGTCTCTCTCTTTTTATAGTCTTTCTTTGGCTCTGCTATCGGTCCAATATTGGATAGCATTTCTTAAATTATGGTCACTTATTTCGACTAATGGGAAATACTAAAAAAAAAAAAGATTTGCAAGAACATATATATAATTATCATATTATATTTAGTATGAATGCATTACAGTGAAAAGAATACCATAGATTCATCTATACATACTACTAGAAAGTACAAGCATTCTCCAATGTTTGCAGTCTTATCCTTCTTTTTCCTCATTTGTTTCAAATACTCTTCCAATTCATTACACAAGTCATCTAATATGTATCTTGACCAATTGAAGTCTTTCAGTGCATTCTTGGTGTAATACATTACCTTAATCGTTCGTTCACTAATATTAGCACTAGCACTCAAACATAAAAGTATTCGTAATGTGACAACAAAAATAAAAAATTAGTTTTTATCCTCTGCTCCAGATTTAATTAATGCTAATATCTTCTTATATGGAATTTTATAATATTTTCCCTTAACCTCAAGAATGCTTCCTCTTAATCATCTATCTCCCCACCAAAGGGTAATCCCATCAATATGTGAACATCTTCTGCTTTCATTTCTTTTGACTTTCCTCTAATGCGAAATTGATGGGAAGGTAGATCATATGAAGATATTAATTAGTAACAGAGGTCTCGAGGGAGTGTTTTCTATTGGATATCAAGCAACACCCCAAACTCGATGTTCTCTACCCTTGTTCTTAGGTTCTCGTTCTCTTTCATGAACTCTGCAAGCTCCCTAAACTACTTCACAGAGCACCTTGTGTGAAAAGAAATCTTGTATTTATTTTTTCCAACATGTCTATTAAATTTTAATTGCCTAGCCTTCTAAACATATTTGGCCTTTTCAGCCTCTGGCAACTCTTCCCATGCCTTCAGTTCAAATTTTATTCTATGTTTCAACCTCATTTTCTTATATTTATCTTCATTTTCCTTGAGAAAGTCCTTCTTGAAAAGACTTAACACATTCACCATCTTCCTTATCTTAAACGATCAAGTCTCACTGTCAATAATTTTAGATAAACACTAGTCACAGCAACAAAGGTCAAATAAAATCATACCAAAATCAGGATATGAGTAATGTGAATGTCATTATTATTTTCTTCACATAAATTAGGCCAATGGAACAAGAGTGTCGCACCCGAAAAAATGCGACGCGGACGGCGCGAGAGCGGAGGTCCCGGCCTTCACGGCGGGAACCGGATCGAACAAGGAGTCGCCACCAAGATTTTGAGGTAAATCTCGGGAAACCGATTAAAAGGAGGATAAGGGTGGTCTGCAAAATCAAAGAATAGGTTCGGGAGTCGGTTGAGTGTGGGGAAGATGTTAGGCACCCCACAACACCCATTCGTCAGAACGGTTACCTGAAGTTTGTTGTGCTCTTTTAATATGGTTTTATAACTATTTTAATTATCCCTTTTAAATTTATGTGTTTGATAAAAAAATGATAGGAATTAGGTGAGAAATGTTTATTTATTTACAAGGGAGGATGGACTTGACTCAGAATCTGACTCTGAGGCCTACGTACCCTGTGATGGGGATCAAAGTCCACGTAGTTCGGGCTTAAAAGTTTGTTGGTGAAAATATTTTTTGAATAGAAATTAATTAGAAATAATTCACCATTCTACAAATAAAACAATTTTTGAAATTTTGATATTTGTGTTTTAAATTGCAAAAAGGTAATTTAATTTCCATCATTTTCTCTATTTTTGAATTTTTAGAATAAAGGAAGGAAAGTGTTTAAAATTATTTTTCTTTTTTTATGTTTTATGATTGAGAATTTTAACTGCAAAACCTGCAGAGCCTTATTGATTCATATGGTAATGCAGTTGTTTTAAATATCTGCAGAGATTCCAAAATCTCACATGATAAAAGAATTTAGCGATTTAATTCATTTATATTTTTAAGTGTTAGTAATAGTTTGTTAAAATATGTATGTATGTTTTTGAAAGAATTTTAATCATCATACCTGCAAAGCCTTATTGACTTATACGGTAATATGATTATCCTAAATATCTGTGGAGATTCTAAGTCTCTCACAATAAAAGGATTAAATAAGATCCACTTTAAATGTATTTTAATGCTTAATTATATAACGCATATTTTTAAATATAAAAATTTTAATCGTTATACTTGCGAAGTCTTATTGACTCTCACAGTAGTACAATTATCCAAAAGGTCTACGGAGTTTCAAGAATCTCACATGAACAAAAGATCTAATTAGACAATATGATTATAATTTAAATTAATTAATAGTATAGGAAATGTTTATTATTTTTAACAAAATTTGTTTATTTATTTACCATATAAATTGTGAATCACGATATCTGTGAGGATTTATTATCCTACACGATAAAGCAATTAATTTCAAATCTGCGAGATTCTTTAAATCTCACACGATAATGTTAAATATTTTATTGATTTAAATTATAAAAAGAGAGTTAATTTCAATGGTGAGCTATTAGAAACCATCTTTAATATACAAGTCGGATCTTTATACCTGTGAAATCTTATTGATTTACATAATATGAGATCATTTTTAGTGCCTATGGGGATTCTTAAAATCTCACATGGCAAAAATTTAAAAATGATAATTATGTTTACCATACAGGCACTAAAGGATGCACATACTCAAGAATAATTCATTCAAACATAAAAATTCATGAGAGCAACAAATTGGGAGTGGACTATTTCTTTCTTTCTTTTGGCCATATAATCTTAGATATATGGCTTGATATTTCAAAGATATTCAAAAGGAAGAAAAATAAATAAATGAAGCGGCAACATTCTTTCCTTAAAACAACAATCACATAAACTTAAAGGCAAGCAAGGTGGATCCTACATAAGGTAACTAGTCACTTTAATGTCTTCATTTTGCAATTTGTAAAAATTAATCATAACTCACATAGCTTGACAAGGTATAAAATAAAACAGAATATCCAGGATAATTCTAGAATCACAAGTAAAGATAAAAAACATGTTATCAGGTGCTTATCAAGAAGAGGAGAGGCAGACTTAGGCAGATAATTTCACAAAATTCTTCGTCCTCGGTTTTTCTCTTCTTTCTTTCGTCTGGTTTTTCTTATCTTTTTATCTGTTGCTGACGTGCCCAACCCCCTTGGATGGCTGTGTTTCTTCTTCTTATTTTTTTCATGTTCTCTCCCTCGGTCTCCTTCTCCTCTCTTTTTTTTTATCTCTGCCACTGCTCTCTCTCTCCTCCCATCTCTGTTCGAATTTCACTCAAACGCTATCCAACCCACTCTTTTTTCCATTTTTCTCTCGGGCTCTTTTCTTTTCTGTCTTCTTCCTCTCTCTCTTCCACTTCGCCGTCGAGTTTTTTTGCTTCCCCCACCATGCTCTATTTTTTTTCGTGCTCTCTCTAGATCTTCCTCTTGCGTGCATGCTGTGTCTGTGCTCTCTCCTTCTGTGCTCCAGTTTTTTTTTTCTCTTCTTCCTCTCATTTTCGTGCTCTCTCTTCTTCAGTTTTTCAGTGCTCTGTTTTTTCATATTTTTTTTCTCGTTGCTGTGTTCTCTTCTCTTCTTTGTCTCTGTTCAAGCTTCTCCCATCTCCTACATTCGGTCACTGCTCTCTCTCCTTCTTTTCCTTTCTTCCTCCTCCTTCCCAGCCTCTCTGTTTTTTTTCTTCTGTTCGAGTTCTATCTTTTTTCACTCCTCTCTCAGTCTTTTTCAGGAAACACGTACTCTCCCCTTCGGTCCGCTCTTCCCTATCACCTCCTCTAGTTTTTCTTTCCTCTGTTTTTCATTTTTTCGGTCCTCTCTCGGAATCTTCCTCGGTCTCACCTCTCTCTCACGTTTATGGCTCTCTCTTTTTCCGTCTCTCCTCCCTCTTCTCTCTTGCTAAAACGTTCTTGTTTCTCCTTCTCTCCATGCTCTGTTTTTCCTTCATTTTTCTGTCTCCGTCTCCTTCTCCTTCGTTCTCTCCTCCATGAGCCAAAAAATCCGGTCCCCCCCGTCTCTTTACGTGAGAGATCCCTTTATTGTTGAGGCTCGGGCTCTTTTCTTTGCCGTGCACGTCTTCTCTATTTCTTTCTCTTTTTCTCTGTTTCTCTCGCGTGCGTGTCCAGCATTTGTTTTTCTTTTCTTCTTCGTACATGCATGCCTTTCTTTTTCTGCATATGTCTCTGACTCCTTTTCTTTGCGTGACCAAGTGTTTTTCACGTCTGATCTTTTCCGCATCTGGTTTCTTTTGCTTTTTCTGCAACGTGCATGCGTCTTCTCCTTACTGTCTTGCGTGTGTGTGCTTCTGCAGATTTCTTGTTTCTCTCGTGTGCAGTGTTGGTCCATGTTTCGTCCAGCCTTGCATTTTTTATCCACTCTGTAACGTGTGCATGAAGGACCCAACGTATTTTAATTTTTAATAACTCTTTTTTTTTTATGTTTATTAAATTCAAAAATTAGGTTAAGGGACTTAAAAAAGAAAAATTGATTTTAGATTAAGCAAACATGTTTTTTTGGAAGATAACAAAATTTAAAGGAAGAAATTCAAAAGAAGTTGACTCTCAAAATTAGTTCCCAATATCTTGAATGGTTAGGATAATTTTGAAGAGATTTTAAGCAAGGTTATATTTTTTTGTTAATTTTGTTAGATTATTTTTTTAAAAATATAATCCTAAAAAAGGATTAAATTTCATTTTTTATATTTTTATATTTTTTGATTATTTTAATGAACTAAAAGAAATAAAATCCTAACCAAAAAAGATTATCTAAAATAAAATTAAGCCCTATCAAATTTGTGGTTTTGAAAATATAATCCTAAAAAGGATTAAATTTTATTTTTACATTTTTATATTTTTTTTGATTATTTATTATTAAATTTTAAAAATATCCGGACAAAATACGGTGTTCACAATTGCCCCTCTTTACTTGCTTCTTATGTAAGTATCTAAAAAAGTGTGCTTTTGAATACTTACATAAGTGACAAGTAAAGATAGAACATGTATTTTAGTCGGCCGTGCAATACCTATGAAAAGACCTAATTGCCCCTAACACGACAAGATATGACATGATGCAAGACTATTGCGTAACAAACACAATGAAATGTTTTTTGATGATTTTTTAGCAATGTGACGCAAATCAAAATGACCAAATGATGCAAGACTATTTGATGACAAACACAATAGCATAATAATTTTTGGTTTTAGCAATGTGATGTAAATGAAAATGACTAAATGACAATGATCCAAACAACATAATAATTTTTGGTTTTAGCAATGTGATGTAAATGAAAATGACTAAATGACAATGATCCAAACAAAATATATGTTGATTAGATGCCCCCTCTTCATTTGATTTCTAAGTGAGAATTTCATGAAATGATATTCTTATCTTAGGAATGAATGAAGAGAGAAACATGTATTTTATTTGGAGGGGCAAGACTCTTAGGTAACTACAACCAAACAAAAAAAACAAAACAAAATAAAATAAAACAAAGGGTTTAAAATGAAATGTGATTTAGGAACAAAACAAAATAAAACCTCAAAGGTGATGAATTGCCTATGTTCCAAAAGACCTGGTGGATGCTTGCCTTTTCAAGGCTTGGAGGGTGCCTGCCATGACAGGGCTTTAAAGAATTGTGCCAGCCAATACTGGGCTTTGGGGTGCCTGCCTTGACAGGGCTTTTAAAAAATTATGCCAGTCGATACTGGGCTTTAGGGTGCCTGCCGTGATAGGGCTTTTAAAGAATTATGCCAGCTGGTACTGGGCTTTGAGGTGCCTACCGTTATAGGACTTTGGGGTGCCTGCCGTTACAGGGCTTTGAGGGTGCCTGCTGTTACAGGGCTTTAAAGAATCATGCCAGCCGGTACTGGGCTTTTAGGTTGCCTGCCGTGACAGGACTTTGGGGTGCCTGCCATTATAGGGCTTTGAGAGTACCTACTATTACAGGGCTTTAAAGAATCGTGCCAGCCGGTACTGGGCTTTTAGGTTGCCTGCCGTGACAGGGCTTTGGGGTGCCTGCCGTTACAGGGCTTTTAAAGAATCATGCCAGTCGGTACTGGGCTTGGGGGTGCCTGCCGTGACAGGGCTTTAAGGGTTCCTGCCGTTATAGGGCTTTAAAGAATCATGCCAGCCGATACTGGGCTTTGGGGTGCCTGCCCGTTACAGGGCTTTAAGGGTGCCTGCCGTTACAGGGCTTTTAAAGAATCATGCCAGCCGGTACTGGGCTTTGGGGTGCCTGCCATTACAGGGCTTTAAAAGAATTGTGCCAGCCGGTACTGGGCTTTAGGGTGCCTGCCGTTACAGGGCTTTGAGAGTGCCTGCCGTTACAGGGCTTTAAAGAATCATGCCAGCCGGTAATGGGCTTTTAGGTTGCCTGCCGTTACAGGGCTTTTTAAAGAATCATGCCAGCCGGTACTGGGCTTGGGGGTGCCTGCCGTGACAGGGCTTTAAGGGTGCCTGCCGTTATAGGGCTTTAAAGAATCGTGCCAGCCGATACTGGGCTTTGGGGTGCCTGCCGTTATAGGGCTTTAAGGGTGCCTGCCGTTACAGGGCTTTTTAAAGAATCATGCCAGCCGGTACTGGGCTTGGGGGTGCCTGTTGTGATAGGGCTTTAAGGGTGCCTGCCGTAATAAGACTTTAGGGTGCCTGCCGTTACAGGACTTTAAAGAATCATGCCAGCCAGTACTGGGCTTTGGGGTGCTTGCCGTGACAGGGCTTTAGGGTGCCTGCCGTTACAGGGCTTTAAAGAATCGTGCCAGCCGGTACTGGGCTTTAGGGTGCCTGCCGTTACAGGGTTATTAAAGAATCATGCCAGCCGGTACTGGGCTTTGAGGTGCCTGCCGTGACAGGGCTTTAGAGTACCTGCCGTTACAGGGCTTTTAAAGAATCATGCCAGCCGGTATTGGGCTTTAGGGTGTGAGAATAGGTTTCATCTCATGAGGAAAATACGAGAAACTCATTGGTGAGATTTGTTAATTCTTCTCTTATTTCCTTGGGTTCTGCAAGTTTTTAGTTTGCCCCAATCCAAATAGGGCATACTTTCTGTGGTAATGCATGCAACGGGGTGATATGCAATGCATGATTTTTTTTATTTGCCCTAATCTAAGTGAAGGCAAATTTTTATATTAAGCATGTAATGGATGGATAATGCACAATGCATGATTTTTTTTATTTTCCCCAATCTAAATAGAAGCAAATTTTCATGTTAAGCATGTAATGGATGGATGATGCCTGATTTTTTCTTTTGTTTTTTTTTTGCTCAAAAGTTCAATTCTTTTTCTGCCCCCAATTTAAATTGTGGCAATTTTGATGCAATGTATGCCATGAGTGATATGGAAGAGTGAATGACTTGCTTTTGATTTGCCCCAATCTAAATTGTGGCAATTTTTATGTGAAATATGTAATGCATGATTGACTATCTTTTAAAAAAAATTCAACTCCTCATTTACCCCAATCTAAATTGGGGCTCACTTTAATGTGAAAGATGAAATTTTTCAATTCATGTAAAGATATGGAATGCTCAATGCATGTGAAACTGTAAAATGTATTTCTTTTTGTTTGCAGGATTTTGATGCAAGAGGGAAACAATACTTGAAATTAGCAAAATGCTAAGGTTTTCTTGGTCATTTGCAATAGGAAAGTTATTGGTCTCCCCAATGAAATTGCAAGTCAATGACTTAACAACTGTTGCCACAAGAATTGGACACTAAGGGGTCACACTTTGAGATATCTAAAACTGTTTATTCCTCCCATATAGAGAATTTTCAAGGCAATTTGTTTGCCCCTATGAAAGGCTTGTTGGACATGGATGCTCCATCTTGTCTATCTTTATTATCACTACTTGTACAGTCAATAAATGAAATTGGCACTAATCTTTATTTAACAATGTCAATGTAAACAATCATCATAAACAAAAGGCCGTGTTTGAAAATGAAACAGGGTGGCCAATCAATGGAATGTTGGGAATATTTAGAGGCATCTCCATTTGGGTGCAAGAAATGTATGAAGGATAGGCATCACGTGGATAAGCCAAACTATGAAGTGAAAAGTGATGGAATGGTAAAATTAAGAACTACACAAATTTTATATGATGTGTCTTTGGATAGTATAGAGATAAAAGGGAATAAATATGGAAATTGAAAAGAGGGTCCCCTCTTCGTTTTGTATGTCCCTTTGAAAATGACATAATTTTTGAGTAAAAGATCTTATATTAAGATATAAGCTTGCCCCAATTTCAACAATCTGCATCTTGGAATGATCTCTAATAAGAAAACTGTCCCGATTATATTCAAACAAGTCAAATCTCAATGAGGACTTATGGGGTTTGTAATGTGGCTTAGGTAAATTGGCTTATAAAATAAAAGGATATTTGGCTCAAAAGTTCTGTGCCCCCTATGTATTTTCTCCGTTCAACCTTTTTCTTCTTCTACTCTAACATAAAATTATGCTAAAATTCACCTAACAAGAGAGGATATTCAGGGATTGTGATGTAGCAAATAAGATAAAATTGTGGGTTGAAAATGGAAAGGAGTGATGGTCTAAACATAAGTGCAAAATCACAATAGAATTTTTTTTAGACATGTGATCTTGCAAGACTTGACATTTCAATGGAGTTATCAGTGGGAGAGGAAGAAAAATTCTCTTCTATTTCTTCTTCTTCTTGTTTTTTCAATTCCTCTTCATGTCCCATTCAATGAGTGAATGCTAGTGGAGGGATAATCTTCTTTTTGACTTTTCATCAGTTGGAGTATTTTTTCTTTTTTCTTTTTTTCTCTTTTTTTTGTATTTATTCTTAGCTCTTGAGCTTTACTTTCATGAGCTTGGAAATGGAAAGAAATTATCTAAATGGATAAATCTGGAGGGTTAAAAAAAAGGCTTCAATGGGGTGAAAGAAAGTCTTGATCCTCTCTTAGAATTTGAAAATTCAGTATAGACATATGTTCGAGTACCCTACCCCGGTGATATTTGTAAACAGGTGAATGAAAGAAACACTACTCCTGGCTCAATATGGGTGACTAGGGAAACTCCTTCAAGATTTAAGAAAGAAGAAAAAAAAATGCCTCATATCTTTAACTTAACTTGTTAATGGAGCATGCTATCTTATCTCTCTAATTAGTCTTTTTTTTATCTTTATTTCTTTTTTTTTCTTCAGTTCATTCACTCTTCTTCATATTTTCAGGAATTAAGGGCATTTTTCTCAAATTGATCTTTTCCATATCCATTGTGATTTTTTCATTGGGAATACCAAACGTTAAGGGAGTAATGGGTGGGATAAGAGAAATTTGATGGTTAAGAGATAAAATAAGCAAACAGGGGTGTCAAATGGAAAAGTATGATTACAACATTGACAAAGTTAAACAAGATCATTTTCAGTGATAGAGTTTGACCATACAAACATTACATAATGCAGATAAGACATGTTAGAAATAATATCTTTGAATTCTCTCTTCAATGGTGAATGACCTTATTGATGAATGTGATATTTGGGCTTGATTTCTTTATCTCCCCTCTTTATTTTTTAACCTCACAACTTGATCAGGAAAACTATGTGCCCCAAGTGAATGCTAGCATCCACACCTACCATATCATTTTTGATGGTCAAGGCAAGGGTATGAAAGTATATTATGAAATGTTGATGTGCTTTGAATGGATGAGATAATGGCAATAGGCAAGGAGTGAGAAAATGACTGGCATTGTGGCAAGTAAGATGGGAAACCATGACCTTCCCATGTAAAGGGCCCAAAAATCTAATATTTCAAAATTTTCAAAGTTTTTTTTTTATCATGGCATGTGATAGGAAAATGCATGGCCTTGCTTTAATGGATGATTATTGTGGAATCAAGTAGGGGTTAGGATGAAAAGATGTATCAATTTATTTATTTACAATTTTGCATTGGTGTAAGGGACCAATTTGAAAGAATTTTGAATCTCACTAAGAGACGTAGAGTTTGTGATTGAATTGGAAGAATTTTGAACATCATTTCCATTGTTTTCTTATTAGTAATAAGGGTTAAATAAGCAAGTGTGCTTACTTGTGCCTTGAACCTTTATGCTAAGGAAAGCATAAAATGATTCAGCAATTCCTATAAAAAGGGTTTGGGTATTAAAAATATTATCATTTTACACATTCTCTTAAGTGATTACAAGGCTATTTCATTTATGCCAAATAAAACTTCCTTTCCTCTATATGCTTATTGCATCATAGGGAAATGGAAATGACTATTAACCTACAAGGGACCAAAATCCCTACATGATTAAAGTCATGAGAGTAATAGCCTTATAACTTGTTATTATTTTTTTAAAGTGATTACAAGGCTACCTCATTTATGCCAACAAAATTTCCCTTCCTCCATATGCTTATTGCATCATAGGGAAATGAAAAATAACTATTAACCTATAAGGGATTAAAATCCCTACATGATTAAAGTCATGAGAGTAATAGCCTTATAACTTGTTATTGTTTTTTTTAAGTGATTACAAGGCCACCTCATTTATGCCAAACAAAATTTCCTTTCCTTTATATGCTTATTGCATCATAGGGAAATGGAAAATAACTATTAACTTACAAGGGACTAAAATTCCTACGTGATTAAAGTCATGAGAGTGATTAAAGTCATGAGAGTAATAGCCTTATAACTTGTTATTGTTTTTTTTTTCAAGTGATTACAAGGCTACCTCATTTATGCCAATAAAATTTCCCTTCCTCCATGTGCTTATTGCATCATAGGGAAATGAAAATAACTATTAACCTATAAGGGACTAAAATCCCTACGTGATTAAAGTCATGAGAGTAATAGCCTTATAACTTTTTTTTAAGTGATTACAAGGCCACCTCATTTATGCCAAACAAAATTTCCTTTCCTTTATATGCTTATTGCATTATAGGGAAATGGAAAATAACTATTAACTTACAAGGGACCAAAATCCCTACGTGATTAAAGTCATGAGAGTAATAGCCTTATAACTTATTTTTTTTTGTTTTTTTAAGGAAAGAGAGAAGAAAAAAAACAAGGATAGTTGTTTTTCAAACATTTATGCATAAGACTCAACTAATTCTTGTTAAACAAAGCTTAATTTATCATTTGGGTAAATGAGAAATTTTCAATCTCTTCCAAGTACTTATTACACTATAGGGAGAAAGGATTAACAATTAGCCTATGAATAGTCAAAACTAATACATGGCTAATGTTTTACTTTCAAAATAAATGTGTTATTTTACCCTACAACAAGAAAAGTTGTTTAACGGGAATTAGTTGACAAAATGCATTAACTCTTCAATGTTATGAATTTATAGTCACTGGGGTCAAAGACCCATAGGTAAAGCTTAGTTATTTAATGCTGGTGCCATCCTTGTGATACATCAACATTGATTAGTGTAATGACATTCAATACCTGCTCTAGCATAAGGTACCCAACAGCTATTTTCCTTAAGGTAGCATGCACAAATGATATATCATTATGATGATAATGATGCAATAAAACATGCTCTCATTTTGTGTCCTATTTAGGAAGCCTAAGTCTGTTTATCTTTGTAATTATCAGGTATAAGCTATAATGGTTGGCTACTAGCTTTCATCTAAAACGTGTAGTTCCAAGGTAGATTTATAGTCCTGATAGATAGAAGGTTCCCAAGATGCCCTCACCATATGGTGAAGACCTTACTTAGTAATTTTGACCCTCCGAGAACATAAGCTCTACAGGGACCGAATTTATTGAGTAAGTAACAGCTTGGGTGAGGTATTCATGGTAACCTCTGAGAGTTTAAAAACTCCACAGGGAAACCACTACTAACCTCTACTAACCTATGGTGCTCACAGACTCGGGTATAGGGCCCAAAATATGTGTGTGTCAAATTGTGTAAGTGCACAGTGTGTGATAAGAGCATGCAAGCATGTTATCTTATTCCCATATGCTGCCCAACCTTTAACTATTAATCAGGTCAAACACAGAGACAAATATATGTACAAATAAAAGTTTTCTATCCTAGGATTTGTTCCGCATGTTATCTATCCTAAGACATGTTATAAGAATCAAAAGAGAGAGAAAAAAGGAAAAGAAGCGAGAAAAGCCCACATAAATTAAAAAGGATAATAATAATAAAAGAAAAACCATATTATATTTTGAGCACAACAAACTTATGTAGGCTTGACTCTCTAACCTGTCCCCAGCGGAGCACAAAAAATGCGACGCGGACGGCGCGCGAGCGGAGGTCCCGGCCTTTACGGCGGGAACCGGATCGAACGAGGAGTCGCCACCAAGATTTTGAGGTAAATCTCGAGAAACCGATTAAAAGGAGGATAAGGGTGGTCTGCAAAATCAGAGAATAGGTTCGGGAGTCGGTTGAGTGTGGGGAAGGTGTTAAGCACCCCACAACACCCATTCGTCAGAACGGTTACCTGAAGTTTGTTGTGCTCTTTTAATATGGTTTTATAACTATTTTAATTATCCCTTTTATATTTATGTGTTTGATAAAAAAATGATAGGAATTAGGTGAGAACTGTTTATTTATTTACAAGGGAGGATGGACTTGACTCAGAATCTGACTTTGAGGCCTACGTACCCTGTGATGGGGATCAAAGTCCACGTAGTTCGGGCTTAAAAGTTTGTTGGTGAAAATATTTTTTGAATAGAAATTAATTAGAAATAATTCACCATTCTACAAATAAAACAATTTTTGGAATTTTGATATTTGTGTTTTAAATTGCAAAAAGGTAATTTAATTTCCATCATTTTCTCTATTTTTGAATTTTTAGAATAAAGGAAGGAAAGTGTTTAAAATTATTTTTCTTTTTTTATGTTTTATGATTGAGAATTTTAACTGCTAAACCTGCAGAGCCTTATTAGTTCATACGGTAATGCAGTTGTTCTAAATATCTGCAGAGATTCCAAAATCTCACATGATAAAAGAATTTAGCGATTTAATTCATTTATATTTTTAAGTGTTAGTAATAGTTTGTTAAAATATGTATGTATGTTTTTGAAAGAATTTTAATCATCATACCTGTAAAGCCTTATTGACTTATACGGTAATATGATTATCCTAAATATCTGTGGAGATTCTAAGTCTCTCACAATAAAAGGATTAAATAAGATCCACTTTAAATGCATTTTAATGCTTAATTATATAACGCATATTTTTAAATATAAAAATTTTAATCGTTATACTTGCGAAGTCTTATTGACTCTCACAGTAGTACAATTATACAAAAAGTCTACGGAGTTTCAAGAATCTTACATGAACAAAAGATCTAATTAGACAATATGATTATAATTTAAATTAATTAATAGTATAGGAAATGTTTATTATTTTTGACAAAATTTGTTTATTTATTTACCATATAAATTGTGAATCACGATATCTGTGAGGATTTATTATCCTACACGATAAGGCAATTAATTTTAAATCTGCAGAGATTCTTTAAATCTCACACGATAATGTTAAATATTTTATTGATTTAAATTATAAAAAGAGAGTTAATTTCAATGGTGAACTATTAGAAACCATCTTTAATATACAAGTCGGATCTTCATACCTGTGAAATCTTATTGATTTACACAATATGAGATTATTTTTAGTGCCTATGGGGATTCTTAAAATCTCACATGGCAAAAATTTAAAAATGATAACTATGTTTACCATACAGGCACTAAAAGATGCACATACTCAAGAATAATTCATTCAAACATAAAAATTCATGAGAGCAACAAATTGGGAGTGGACTATTTCTTTCTTTCTTTTGGCCATATAATCTTAGATATATGGCTTGATATTTCAAAGATATTCAAAAGGAAGAAAAATAAATAAATGAAGCGGCAACATTCTTTCCTTAAAACAACAATCACATAAACTTAAAGGCAAGCAAGGTGGATCCTACATAAGGCAACTAGTCACTTTAATGTCTTCATTTTGCAATTTGTGAAAATTAATCATAACTCACATAGCTTGACAAGGTATAAAATAAAACAGAATATTCAGGATAATTTTAGAATCACAAGTGAAGATAGAAAACATGTTACCAGGTGCTTATCAAGAAGAGGAGAGGCAGACTTAGGCAGATAATTTCACAAAATTCTTCGTCCTCGGTTTTTCTCTTCTTTCTTTCGTCTGGTTTTTCTTATCTTTTTCTCTGTTGCTGACGTGCCCAACCCCCTTGGATGGCTGTGTTTCTTCTTCTTATTTTTTTCATGTTCTCTCCCTCGGTCTCCTTCTCCTCTCTTTTTTTTTATCTCTGCCACTGCTCTCTCTCTCCTCCCATCTCTGTTCGAATCTCACTCAAACGCTATCCAACCCACTCTTTTTTCCATTTTTCTCTCGGGATCTTTTCTTTTCTGTCTTCTTCCTCTCTCTCTTCCACTTCGCCGTCGAGTTTTTTTGCTTCCCCCACCATGCTCTATTTTTTTTCGTGCTCTCTCTAGATCTTCCTCTTGCGTGCATGCTGTGTCTGTGCTCTCTCCTTCTGTGCTCCAGTTTTTTTTTCTCTTGTTCCTCTCATTTTCGTGCTCTCTCTTCTTCAGTTTTTCAGTGCTCTGTTTTTTCATATTTTTTTTCTCGTTGCTGTGTTCTCTTCTCTTCTTTGTCTCTGTTCAAGCTTCTCCCATCTCCTACATTCGGTCACTGCTCTCTCTCCTTCTTTTCCTTTCTTCCTCCTCCTTCCCAGCCTCTCTGTTTTTTTTCTTCTGTTCGAGTTCTATCTTTTTTCACTCCTCTCTCAGTCTTTTTCAGGAAACACGTACTCTCCCCTTCGGTCCGCTCTTCCTTGTCACCTCCTCTAGTTTTTCTTTCCTCTGTTTTTCATTTTTTCGGTCCTCTCTCGGACTCTTCCTCGGTCTCACCTCTCTCTCACGTTTATGGCTCTCTCTTTTTCCGTCTCTCCTCCCTCTTCTCTCTTGCTAAAACGTTCCTGTTTCTCCTTCTCTCCATGCTCTGTTTTTCCTTCATTTTTCTGTCTCCGTCTCCTTCTCCTTCGTTCTCTCCTCAACGAGCCAAAAAATCCGGTCCCCCCCGTCTCCTTACGTGAGAGATCCCTTTATTGTTGAGGCTCGGGCTCTTTTCTTTGCCGTGCACATCTTCTCTATTTCTTTCTCTTTTTCTCTGTTTCTCTCGCGTGCGTGTCCAGCATTTGTTTTTCTTTTCTTCTTCGTACATGCATGCCTTTCTTTTTCTGCATATGTCTCTGACTCCTTTTCTTTGCGTGACCAAGTGTTTTTCACGTCTGATCTTTTCCGCATCTGGTTTCTTTTGCTTTTTCTGCAACGTGCATGCGTCTTCTCCTTACTGTCTTGCGTGTGTGTGCTTCTGCAGATTTCTTGTTTCTCTCGTGTGCAGTGTTGGTCCATGTTTCGTCCAGCCTTGCATTTTTTATCCACTCTGTAACGTGTGCATGAAGGACCCAACGTATTTTAATTTTTAATAACTCTTTTTTTTTATGTTTATTAAATTCAAAAATTAGGTTAAGGGACTTAAAAAAGAAAAATTGATTTTAGATTAAGCAAACATTTTTTTTTTGGAAGATAACAAAATTTAAAGGAAGAAATTCAAAAGAAGTTGACTCTCAAAATTAGTTCCCAATATCTTGAATGGTTAGGATAATTTTGAAGAGATTTTAAGCAAGGTTATATTTTTTTGTTAATTTTGTTAGATTATTTTTTTAAAAATATAATCCTAAAAAGGATTAAATTTCATTTTTTATATTTTTATATTTTTTGATTATTTTAATGAACTAAAAGAAATAAAATCCTAATCAAAAAAGATTATCTAAAATAAAATTAAGCCCTATCAAATTTGTGGTTTTGAAAATATAATCCTAAAAAGGATTAAATTTTATTTTTACATTTTTATATTTTTTTTGATTATTTATTATTAAATTTAAAAAATATCTGGACAAAATACGGTGTTCACAAAGAGGATGACAACATTGGTCAAAATTAAAAGGATGTAGTGGTCAAATTTCACAAAACCTTAAACTTTCTTCCTTATGTCTAATATTACTATATCTATATCTATATATATATATATATATATATATTGGATAAATGGATCAATATAACACCAGTACTAAAAAGTAAATAAACAATTCAGCTCCATTAATTAATTTGTTTGTTCACTTAACTAGGTTATTAGTTCAAGAGGTTGGTACTAGCTAGTAATATAAATTTCCCTTCCTTCTGTTCCTATCCTTCAAACTCTACAGCTAAAGCCAACTAGACAGAAATACATATAGAGGAAAAAGATAGTTCGCATAAATTTGATGTAAGATTTTAGCAGCGTGAGTTACATGACAAGAAAAATTAAAAGAAATATGGTATATTTTTCTTGGAAAATAAAATGGAAGAAATGATCTTTGATTTCCATACCACTGTTCAATAGTTAAGAGTGAATTTTGTGTTGCATGAAACATGGGAAGATTACTATGTAACCTAATTTGATGAGACTATGAAACAATCATTTCCAAAAGTATAGAGAAGGAAAGGCATAAGCTAGAAGATGTAACCAAATTTTTCATAATGCAATCATAACTTGTTGAGAGTCAAGAAAGCAGCTACAACAAAATAAGCCTCCAATTACCCACCAACATTTAAAAACGTCAAACCATAACAATTGAAGTTTAAATCAAGGGGAAATCAGATCTTAACGTAAATAATCACCATGGGATCATAATGGGAGGAAACATGAAGGCCACATTGTGGGCACCACAGTGTTATAGTATGAAGAGTCCAACCAATAGAACACAAGAAATAAGAAGCAACATACCTACTTAGGGATATACATGCACTACTACAGAAATGGGTATATATGACGAGCTTTATTGGACGGTTATAATTATAACGGTCCAATAAATTAAACATTGGACAGTTCTAAAAATAACCATCCAATATATTAAATATATTGGACAATTATTTTTAGAACCGTCCAATATATGTTGAATTTTTTAGTTTCCTTTTTTTTAGACTTTATTGGACGGTTATTATGAATAATCGTATAATAAAGTTTGCTAAATATTAGACGGTTAACATTTAATCATCTAATATGCTGAATATTAAACGGTTAACATTTTAACTGTCCATATGTGCTTTATAACATCAGTCTGCCTCCTCTCTTTTGCATTTTCCAGATCTAATTCTTGTTCTCCATCTCAACTCTTTCCTCTTCTTGTCTCCTCTCCTTTCATTTCAGCCATTAATCTCTTCCAAGCTCTCTCTTGCTCTCCACCACTCTCTTCTCCTGCTCTACCACCGAAGACTCGTCTCTTACCACTGAAGATCTGTCTCTCCTCGTGCTCTGCTCTCTCACGCGTAAGTGGTCTCATTTTCTCCTCTCATTTCTTCTGAATCTCTTGCTCTCTGAAATGATTTAACTTGATTTTTGTATTTCATTGTTGTATGGATTACTGATTCTTGATTAGGCTTTTGTTTTGTTAGATTAGATTATATTGATTTTGGGTGTTATTGGTGTCGCACGCAAGCTGTTTGTAAAATGCTTCATAGAAAAAAATGAGCTTTGGTAAGAACCCACATAAAATTTAAGTTATGGGTCACTTGAAAATGCATGTTAAACTAATAATATATGATTAGAAGAGATTATATTAGTTTTTATTTTTATCCGAATTTATTATCTCTTTTTTTAGTATTTTTTGTTTGAACAATATTTAACTAGTTTGAATGAAAAATTTTTATCATTTAGTTCTTTGATTGATGATTGAGTAGTATATGAAGTTTCATAGTGATTGGAATTGTATATGAGTACTTTTTAGCTTACTCGAAATTGTTACTTATATTGTAATTTGTAGTTTTAAAATAACATGTGATATTGTTGTTTTGATGATGATGATAATGTGCTTAGAATGAGGGCAAATGCCTAGAAAAATTTTATTTTTATACCGTTATGTTGTCGATTTTTGTTTGAAATTAATAGTTTGCATTTAAGGACCTTTTGTTTAACTTTTTTTTTAAATTAAAGGAAAATTTTTATACAAGAAATTTTTTTTATTTGTTTGAAAGGGGTAGAAAATTTAATTAAATCAGTTTTATAAATTAAGACATATAATTTTTATCATAGTTGGGCCTAATATTAATGTTGATATTGAAATATATATATATATATATATTTACTTATTATTATAAGTAAAAAATAATTTTTTTTATTATAACTATCATAAATAATTCTTAATTTTTTATAAAGTAATAATAAAGAATTCACTTGTTGGCAAGTTTTCACATAAGATAAAATACTTATACTAATTAATATAATTGTAAGTATTATCTTAAATTTAATTATCTTAGAGCGGGATGATGTGTGTGTGTGTGAAGCATGTGGCTCATGATTGATAGAGTTAGTAATTAATATATTCATTAAACTACTTCTTTCAATTGATTGAGTCCACTAATATGATTTTCTCAACAATTCTTATTAGATTGAGAGAGATTCTGGATAGAATGGATATATGTGAATAGAGTCATAAAAGAATATGTTGATGGGGTGAAGGAGTTCATTAGATTTGCACTCGAGCATGCGGCAGACCATAATAGTCTTTGTATGCCCTTATGTGTGAATGGTTGCCTCTTGAAGGGGTTAGTGCGAGCGAGTTGGAAGATCATTTAGTGTGTTTTGGAATTGATCATACTTATACATGTTGGCATAAGCATGGTGAGTCGCGGGATACGACTGATAGAAGCTGTGAGTATAGCAATACGTACATGTCACATGATTTCGAAACAAGTATAGACGAGGATGATCATGTTGAAGAGATGACTAATGCTGTTGAAGAGGAACTCCGGGATTGTCCAGAAATATAAGAGAGGTTGAGAATTGAAAGATACAGGGACACCTTTATACACCAATTGCGCAGAATTCTCAAAATTGACCGCTGTGCTAAGATTGTTCAACTTGAAAGCAAGAGAGGGGTGACTAATACAATCTTCACAGAATTTCTTTCCACTTATTCATGAAATGTTACTGAAGGGTAACAAGCATCCAACCTGACCATATGATGCAAAACAAGTGTTGCAATCTGTGGGCATGAGTTATGAGAAGATACATGCTTGCCTTAATGTGATGCGCTTTGTTTCGGAATGAATATACATCATTAATTGAGTGTCCTAAATATATGCATCACGTTATAAGGATAATGGAAGAAAGAGTTCGGAGAAGGTGGTATAGTACTTTCCCATTGTGCCTAGGTTTAAACGCTTGTATAGCAGTATAGTAGAATCAAAAAATTTGAATATGGCATGCAACGAGAGAATTGAGATGGTGATGGATGCTAAGGCATCCTGCTGACTCTACGCAATGGGAAAAGGTTGATCGAGAGTACCCAGACTTTGCAAAAGATTCTAGAAACTATGCCTTGCAATAGCTACCGATGGAATGAATCCACATAGCATGCAAAGCAGTACCCATAGTACATAGCCAATGATGTTAATCATTCATAATCTACCTCCAGTGCTATGCATGAAGCGTAAGTATTTGATGATGTCCTTGTTAATTTCTGGGCCAAAACAACCAAAAAATGATATAGACATATACTTGGCTCCTTTAATTGAAGATTTGAAGCTATTGTGGGGGACAGGGGTTGACGTTTATGATGCGTACAGGAAGGAAACATTTAATTTGAAAGCCATGTTGTTTGGCACAATTAATGACTTTCTAGCATACGGTAATTTGTCTTGGGTATAGTATCAAGGGAAACTTGAATGCCCTATTTGTGAAGATAGCACACAGTCGGTAAGATTAGATATGGTATGAAAAATGTTCTACATGGGATATCATAGATGGTTGCTCAACAGCATTATTATTGAAGATAAAAAATTTTTTTTAATGGTAATCTAGAAGAAAGTGGGCCACCTTTATTTTTATCTCGGTGATCAGTTATTGAAAACGGTTAAGGATTTGGAGGTTGAATTTGGAAAACCTTTTGTGAGGCACATTAACACAAGTGGGTGGAAGAAAAGATCTATTTTCTTTGATTTTCCGT